ATAGCTATTGTGAGATATTTAGGATGTATCTGTATACCGGGTCATTGTATGGATTGCAGTTAGATTAGAAATTGTTCGTGGGCCTTACCCACTCTTATATTTTTCAGGTATCAGATGGTTCCAGTCTTAGGGCTTGATCGAGCTGAGCAGAGACGGTCATTCACTCTACTAACGACGTAGGATTTCATTTCATGTTTTCGATTTAGATTTTATCTTCAATTGTTTACTTATCGTCTGAGATTTTATTTAGGGGTACACTAGATGGATTCTCGAGTTGTACTCTTGGAGGTTTTGGAGAGTTGGATTATATTTTTAATCATTATTATTTGAGGATTTGATATTTAGAATTCTTCCGGATTTAATATTTATTTCTTAAAACTTTTATATTCTGTGTTCGTTTATATATTAATTGGTTGATATTCCCTTGGGTTTGGGCTTGGCTTGATCAACCCATGTCTCGGATTCGAGGGGTATCACAGTCAATTACCAGCAACACGCTCCTGTAGCTCTTCAAAATGGGAATCACCCTTTGACAAACCAATCTCTAAAACAGACTCTTACAAGACCACGAAATGATCCACATTTTGCAATCGGTCCTACATCACCCTAGACCTACAAATTCCAACAAATCCCCTCAATAACCATAACCAACACGCTTCCTTAGACTGTACCAAAATACTTGAAATATATGTCTATAACCCACAGACTACACTCGTGACTTAAGCAATCCCTATCACACCCACCACAAATCGGTTCAACAAGAACCTCTGCACCAAACTATGACCCAAGTCACAAACACTAACCTCCTAAGGTCATATATTTCTCCCACAAAACTCTCACTCCGTACACCTGACCTCCACGGTCACAAGAACCCATACACCAATGCATGAAACTCATATACAATATAGACAATGTGCCATGAAATACGAGCCCGCTCTAGAGTCATGCTCTAAGCACCGCACAAAATGTAACAAAAAGATTAGAATGATTACACACCAAATAGCTCAATCCATGAGCTAGAAGTCCACGCCATTCGTTCGATAAGAACCGGCACCCAAAACAACCGTAGAACAACCGAGCTCCTCGCCTACTCAGGTCAAACTCACACAACCATCCATGTCGCAACAAGTATTGTACTATACTAGTAATCATCTCGTGCTCAACCACATTCTCTTATACATGCATACATATGTATATAATAACTGAAATAAATGCCTTAACACTCGTGTCCTATCCCATCAATTTAAACAACGAGTCCATTAAATCATTATGTGAAAATAAACTTCCCGTTCATCATTGTCATATTTCCACAATTAACATGTTTTCAATTATTTATACATTTCATTGTTATAGCCATATAACACACATTTTAGCAATTAAACACGTAAGCATGTGAACACTTAGCAAATAAGCATGTCTTTTAAAACCGTAAACACATAAGCAATTAAGCAGTTAGACATGCTTTTCAATCAATTAAATATCTTAACACATAAGCATAAAAACATGCAATTCAACTTCTCATGCAATCTTAGATAGGCCTCTACCTGTCATCTTAATGGTATTCGAACCATTGCTCTGATACCAAATTTGTAACGACCCGGACCCAATGGTCCAAATCGCTAACCGGGTTCTTACCCGAACCTGAGGTCAACTAAGGACACTACCGTCTTTTCCTATGTCAATACATAATATATATACGTGTCATCCCAGGGTTTAAAAATAATAATAATAATAATAATAATAATAATAAAATGAGATTATAGCTATAAAATATGTCAAGACAGTCCACTAACCCATCAAAACCTATGGAGGAGCGTCGTCCACCACTTCTTTTCCGTGTCTTGAAAAAAATGTTAAAATAATGGGGTGAGCAAAAAGCTCAGTGGGAAGCGCCTAAGACACACCTCTTATAACACCGTGAATCCAAACAATGAATAGGAATAAGGGAAACGGGGTCATGCTATACCGGGGAGAACTTAGCAATGAAAACAACAACCACGGATCAAAGTCGTAATGAACCATGCTATGCAATGAGATGCAATGTCATGCAATGTCGCTCCCCATTTTCAAAATCTCTTCCATTTCCTCACTTTTCAAACCGTTAATATAGCCCATCCCTCAGTAGCCCCTCGGCGACATGAGAGAAGGATTGGCTACTGACCCTTGGTATCCCCGCGGCGTCATTTGGGGCCAGATAGCTCAACCACGCTAGGGTGATCTCCCTAGTTTCCTTTAGACTACATTAACGCCACGGACCCTCGGTACCCCTTTGGCGTCCGGGTTTTTCACAAAACCATTTAGTTTCAAAATCATTTCCCAAATTCATTTTCCATTGCTTTATGAAACAACTTTTTTCCATTTCATACCCAATGATAAATGCATAAAATGTTACATGTTATCCAATGTCAATATATAATTATATGCAGTTCATTAACATCATACTCACAAATTTATAATAAATTCTCACACCAAGTCATATTCTCATTCTTATCAAATATAACTTTATAAATAAATGAAGCATGAAGATAATTCAACTAAACATTTATATTTCATCACAATTCATTTAAACATACAACTTTTCACATACAACACACAAAAAAAACCTCACTATGCTTCATTTACTCATAGATTTCAAATAACCATAATAATATTTATAATTTAGTGAACAATTCAACAATTTATATAAAGAAAATTCACAAAGGGTAAAGAAATTGTAACTTATAAACCCTTACCTCAAATGAGAGAAAACCCCCAATTTATGCCCAATTTTTGAAATTCCTAGGCCAAAAATGAACTTTGCTCCGATCACAACGTAGGCCTCAACGCTCTTATTGACTTTGCTTTAAGTGGCAAGATTAAATTCCAAATAGAATTGTGTAGATTAAGCCTAAAAAATAATTACTCCTCATTTCATTCTTAAGTTTCCAAGCCTTCAGCCTTCCATGAATTCTCGGCCTCTGCTCTATCTGTGCTTCTCAAATTTTCTCTCTCTCTGAGTATAAATTTACAGACTCAAAACACCTTTAATTAAAGGCACAATGTCAACTGCTCACCATAAAAACAATATAAGGCCACGTGATTAAATTCTCCTAGTGGGTCCCGCCCCACTTATTTTTCCTTCTTTCCTTTTCTTTTTTTCTTTATTTTTCTTTTCTTTCTTTTTCGTTCTTATCTCTCTCGACTAGCAGGCACCTGCTCTCTCCTTTATCTAATTCACAATATATATATATATATATATATATATATGTGTGTGTGTGTGTGTGTGTGTGTGTGTGCACAACAAAAATAAAAACCCGTTAACTTCATTACGTGGGCCCCACAATCAGGGGCGGAGCCAGGAATTTGGTTCAGGGGGGGCATGTTAGTACTGATAAAATTTTTTTTTTCAAGCAGGCCGAAAATATAATAGTGTAATAAAAGTGTATTAGAGTAAGTGAATAAAAAATTAATAAGAAGAGAAAAAAGAAAAAGAAGGTTATTGCACATAAATTATGCATTAGTGCAAGAAAAAGAAATTTTTAAGAAGAAAAAGGAATTTTTTAAGAAGAAAATGAAATAAAAGGAAAAAAATGAAAGAGAATGCAAAAGTTTTGAAGATGATAAAAAGAAATTTGAAGAATAAGAAGGAAAATGAATAAAGAATTATAGACATTTTTAAAAATAGATAATTTTATGGGGATAATTTATAAATTTTATGAGGGTGTTTTATAAATATTTAGAAATTATACGCATAAAATAAAATAAAATTTAGTGAGTTCAAGGGTAAGGGAGCCATTTTATTAATTTTAGGGGGGGCATTATGTCAATTTTTAAAAATTTATGTATAAAAATATATATATATTCTAATAGGGCAGCATGTGCCCGGGGGGGCTGCCCCCCCTGGGCACATGCTGCCCCCGCCCATGCCCACAATAACATCACCATTTTCTTCTTTCTTTTTGCCCCCCAAATTCGGCTAGCCACCTTATCTCTTCAGAAGTTAAAGTGTGTGTGTGTGTATATATATATATATATATATATATATATATATATATTTATATATAATTGCAACAAAAATCAAACTAACCTTAAATAATTCAAATGGGTAAACCTCCAAATTAAAATTAAATACTCAACTTGACCACTAAAAATTATGAAATAAATATAATTTAAAATCCTACAAATTCGGATTGTCACAATCCCGTGCACAACAACTCCGATAGCGAGTCCGTCCTAGGACCTCCCGGTCCGAAAAACAGAAAAATGCCCTCGAAATATTTGATCAATTATTATAGATCATGTTCTTCGCTCTTGGAGACCCTACTTATAGTTCCTTCAACAACAATTTGTCCCAAGAAGTTTGTATTTAATTTCATGTTGGACACTTGCATTAAAATCTCTGTGTACTAACTTGAGAGGGTGTGTTTGAGAATATCATTATAGTAGCTATGTAAGCCTTGACACAATATAGATAGTAGTAATTCATTGGAGTGATTTTAGGAATCCTTCATCAGTATAATTCTCATATTTATCACCTGTTTGTATTCTTTCACCTATAAATAGAGGTGGTCATTGTAAACAAAATTACGAGAGCATTTAATGAAAGAGAAGTAGTCATTTGGGCTTTGTGTGCCGGCAGATTCGTGTGTTGTTCATATTCAATTTATCTCTTCAATTTTATTTTTCTTAACAGAAGGATCTGAATGGTGTTGGATTTCCTTACATTGCCACGAAAATTTTGGCTGGTTGGGGATCTTCATTTTGAACATGCAGATCTGTTATAGCTTAAAAAGGAAAATATGGTTTTTCTTTCTTTTTCATAAATCTGGATGTATGCGCGAAAAGTTCATTAATCATTTCATAGTTTCTATTATCATTTTTGTGTTTTCTAGTGAGGAAAATTCAATATGTCAATCGAAAATAAATAGTTTATAGTTTCATTTATAACAATAACATTTGTGCTTAATCATGTCTCAATCTTATCTTTGAAAATTAACCTGCTTGTACTTTTCCAGGATCCACTAAAAAATGGAGTTTTGGCAATTCAAACTATACGCAACAATATAATGGCGTCTACACTTTTGGCATCAACAGCCATCACTCTCAGTTCATTGATCGGTGTTTTCGTGAGCAACACATCGAACTCGGCCTCTGCATCATCAGAATTAATTTACGGCAACAAAACTCCCCTCATGTCTTCAGTCAAGTACTTTACTATCTTGCTCTGCTTCCTTGTCGCCTTTGTTTGCAGTGTGCAGTCTATTAGGTACTATGCCCATGTTAGCTTCTTGGCTACCTTGCCCACATTACAAGATAAAAGAGAATCTGTCGAGTATGTTGCGAGAAACTTGAACAGGGGTAGCTTGTTTTGGTCACTTGGACTGCGAGCATTTTACTTGTCATTCCCTCTCTTCCTCTGGATTTTTGGGCCGATACCCATGTTCGTTTGTTGCTGCATAATGTCAAGTGTGCTTTACTTCTTGGACACAACTACCAGCTTTACAAGGCATCTTCACATTCACTCTATGAAAGGTGAAAAAACCGAGGATGTTGAGATTGGAAGCTGAAAGGCCCTTACAGATTTATAAAAAGCTACCCTTTAATTAAGAGCATTATTTTGGAAAGAGAGAGATTCTTGTATTTATGACACAGATAGAAGTTGTTTGTAAATTTGTCCTTGGGTCTTAAACTGCCTTTTTAGTAGCACATAATGTGTGTGTTTCTCTATGCATGCTCGTGTCTCCTTAAAAGATGGGACGGACTTGTCATTTGACCGCACTGCGTGTGTGTGTGTGTTTATTCTCTTGAGTTTTGAGTTTTTAACATTTGGGTTGGCGAGGGGAGCTGTTTGAGGTGTAAATTTCTTCACGTCTTCTGGTGCTGAAAGCACCGGATGTTCGACGCTGATAGTGTGGTATTCTTTAAAATATAACACCATATAGCAGAATTACAAGTTGGACGGCTAGAGCTCTTTGTTTTGCTGGAAGACTGCAACTGATCCAAGCCACTCCCTTTAGTATGCATATTTAGTGGACCAATTTGCTCTCATCTTACCGGCAAAAGTTTGTGACAAAATGAATCAAACCATGTAGAGATTCTACGGCAAAATATAGAGCAAAGATTGAATGGGAAAAGGTAGGTAAGAAGTCCCAAGAGGACTGGGCATCCATATTGTTCTGACAAGACAGCAGGTGTGTGGAAGGAATGGAGGGACACTAGTGAACTTGATCAAGCATTTGGAAAATTCCAATACCAAGTGACTAGCTGATCATGATGGTTTTGGAGAAAATTACTCCAAAACAGGCACCTAGCACAACCAATGATCAAGCACACCATCAACAATGATTTTCTTTGACGACTGTGGTACCCTTTATAAGGTTCTCTCTAATTCTCACCATAGAGTCATAGACAAGGCTGGATGATGAACAAGCATAAGAAAGTACCATCATCTTGACTCAGCAACAACCCAGTGGACATCATGACCTACATCACCTCACTGTGACATCAACAACCTGCCTCTCCCTAACCTTAAACACCAATATTCAATGCTCACCATCACCATCAAAAACCTATACTCTCAAACACACTCAATGCTGCTGAAAACCATAATCACCTGTATGCTCAAGACCAAACCCGAACTCCTGGGAAAGATTTCTTAATTTGGGCCTCTCCAACTGGAAGCAGAAACTGAAAAGAGGCAGAGTCATGGTTTGGAAATTAGGTTTGGCTAGTTTTGTTTATCTTGTGTGGAAGGAAAGAAATAACAGGTTATTCAGAAACAAATCACTACCTCCACAACAATTGATGAATGAGCTAGTGATCAATGCAATTTGATTGAAACTTTTCTCTTTGACAATTGACCCACCCTTTACTGAAGAAATTCTCGTTGAGTGGAACTTGCCAGTTGCCATCCTCCTTTTTTTGACCCGACCCACTCAAACCCTTTCTTTAATTACCACAACCACCAGCCCCACCTGTGCAGTAACTGATACTTTCTTGCTTCTTGATGAAGACCTTTTTTTGGACCACTTTGTGGACATGTTTTCATTTCTATGTTTCTTAAGCCCCTTCCCTATTGGGGCCATGGGGTATAACGTAATCATCCTTATTTTTTCCTATTTTCTATTTTTGATTTTTTTGGATCATTTTAATCCTTGTCTCATTTTGCATTGCGGACACCGTGAGGTGTGCCAGGTGTGTTTGAGAGTTGTTTGGAGCATTTCCTTAAGTTCAGGACTCTTGAAAATATATTTGTCATTTTGACATTTTTTTTTTTTGTTTTTTGAACCGAGAGGTCTCAGGTGGACCCGCTACTGGGGTCGTTGTGTTACGGGTCCATCACATTTCATGTATAATTATTTTGTGAATAAATTATTTATCTAAATGCTTATGTGTGGTTGTGATTTAATTTGGGTGTGTGTGTGTATATATATATATATTAATGATTGGTAAGGAATATATTTTTATATGGGACCCACATGAAATCTTTTAATGGACTTAAAGCCATTTGACTAATTCATTCCTCAGTTTCTCTCTCTCACCTTGTAATCTCTCTCCCACTATTTTATTTTATTTTATTTTTTCTTTTTCTTTTTCTTTTATGCCTCATTTTTCTCCTTCATTTTTTGGCCAATCGGTCAGGTTTTCGATCTTAGTTCCTTGACGAAAAATGTTTCTTTCGTCGTTCTCTATTACAAAGTCAAAGAATTTAATTTTCAAAGGAGCGGTGATTATTTTATGAATTTTTAAAATTTTTAGTTCTAAGATTTTGGAATGGGTTTTGGAGTCGGATTCTGAAGGCACGCCTTTGGAACAATAAAATCTCCTCATCATCCGATACGTTCCCACCGAACAGATTTCTGTTCCGCCGGAGTTGACTTCTGTTGACCGACATTGACTGCGTTGATCGGTGTTGACTTTTTTGGTCAGGGATGCATTTTTGCTGCTGTTGAGATAGGGATGTCTAAAACATTAACTTTTGACTTTAGTTGAGTTCGTATACTTACTGATAAAGTGCAGGCATGTTTATATCACTTTCATTCATGCATAATTCCATTCGTCGCATAGGTATGGTTCGGGAAAAATGAGGTTGAAATGATTCTTTTAAAGAAATGTGTTTGGAAAGGATTGTGAGGAAATGATTTAGAAATGACCCGGATTTCACGAGTCTAAGGCTAGCTTAACCTAGAGGAAGCGCGGCCCGGTGTAAGGTGTGAAAAAATTGGTACTAGGCCTTTTAACGGTTGCCAAGCTTTGCCAGAATTGGAACCGGAGAAAGTTATCAATCTCGCCTCGGTAAAGTCAGTTAGCGAGTTTTTGAAAAGTGAATGTTGGGTCGGTATAGACCAAGTTTAGGATAGGATGCATCACACTTCATATCATGTGCATGATTTTCAAGAATTGTGATATGTGACTGCGTGTATTGATTGTTATGTTATAAATGTTGTACGGACTCCAATTGCATGACCTTGACTTCTTTTCTATTCCCGTTCTTTAGTTGTTGGCTCAAAGGAATTCAAAATCGATGTTTTAGGTATTACCTGCTAAGTTGTTGAGTTCACCCCTTATCTTAACATTTTCAGGAAACCGAAGGAGTATCGATGTATGACTTATATCCATGGACTTAGACGTTGCTACCATTCTACTTGCATTTGTGAGTTTTCTGTGATGTTAGTGATATGATGTACTATGAGTCTTGGGATGACGTATATATTTATGCAATGCAGTAGGAAAGGACGGTAATGTCTTAGATGACCTCGGGTTTGGGTAAGGACTCGGTAAATGATTCGGACTCCCGAATTCGGGTTGTTACATATACTCCACATTTCTCTTGTAATTATTTTGTTTTTATACTAAACCACTTACTTACCGGGAAAAAAAATTAAAAATAAATACCAAAACACACTTTTGTGGATAATGTTGTAAATTGCTTCATAAACCATTAAGCACAATTGATATCATGGAATATATTATGCTTATGAATACCTCATCAATCATGCAATAATAATAATAAGTAATTTAAAGTACCGTAATAAAAGTAAGATAATGTGCACGATCATGCACACCAAATGTTAACGTGGAAAGATCACAACCTAACTAGGTAAATCAATCTACTAAATATGAAGAAAGAGATATATGTACAACCTAAGTCTAATCAGTATTCTTGAACTCTCTTAGTTGATCTCCATACAACAAGACGCTTAATCCTCAGTACCCTCCAAGGCTATTCTCTCATCTATCTACTACATTCAGTACACTTGAACTCGCTTCTTCATCGTTTAGTTTATTGCAATTAATTTCGTCCAATCCACTTCTAAGTATTTATGTGATTTACTCGAACACAGTGTTGATGTAGACGTTGGATATATAGCACGATCGCAACAATTGTATCAACACATGTACTCAATAATCATCATGATCACCAGATTTAATGCATATGAGGGCATCACCAATGGACTCTCCAAATTTATACTTTTCGAATTTGCCATATCAACATTTTTTGATAGCCACGTCAGTATTTCTCATAGTCACGTTAGCGTTTTAGAATCTCCAAATTTTAGCTATCGAATGTACTCTAATGGTGCATTTTCGCTCTCCAAAAATATTAATATTTTTAATAAATTTTATTTTTTAACTTTTTCCTAACGGCTATGTTTTTAAAACGGTTATATCATAAAAAAAAGTTAAACAATACAATATTTATTATTAAAAACAATACGATACGACATAAATTTAAACAATACAAATTTTAAAAAATAGGTTTTTGTGCCAATATAGCCGTTAAGGCACTGTTTCGGTCAACCAAATAATGCCTAAAATGGCTATATGTCCGTAGGAATATTTTAAAAAGCAATTTTTTTTTTAATTTAAAAAAAAGCACTTTTATCTATATTTTTTTTTTACTTTTTTGCCCAAAAAAGCCTTTAAGGCGTTGTTTGTGTCAGCCAAACAGTGCCTTAACGGCTTTTTGGTTCAATTATTTTGAGGGGGGAGAAAAAAAAAAAAAAAAAGACTAAAATCAGCCAAAAAATTGATTTTTTCCTTCTTTTTTTTTTTTCAGGCAAACATGCCCTTAGGAATAGTGTTTTGGGCTAAATGTCAGTTTTGGGCCAGAATAAAAAAATTAAAAGAAAATGGATGCGGGCCTGCATGGTAGGCCCGCGGCTCTCCAATAGGGTCGCGGAATATCGCGACCCATTCCGCGATCCATAAGGTGGGCCCCAATTTTTTGCTACCCTATTGGATCAGTCCAATCTTCAAACCTGGCCCAAAATCATCGAATTTTTGTCCATTGGACCTGCTCTGATATGTGATGATAAAAACCTACTCTCTCTAATCTCAAGACACACTCTCATGCATACCTGATGAACATAGTTTTCTTGTAAATAAAGAAACAGACAATATGGAAGAGACTATATTTTTTTCTTAGTTAGTACTTAAACACATATGCCTCCACTAAGACTCGAACCCTAATCTCCCTTTTGGCAGTTCAAACTTTACGCAACAACATAACAACATAACGTCGTCTACACTTTTGGCATCAACAGCAATCACTCTCAGTTCATTGATCGGTGTTTTCGTGAGCAACACATCGAACTTGGCCTCTGTATCATCAGAATTAATTTACGGCAACAAAACTCCCCTCATGTCTTCAGTCAAGTACTTTACTATCTTGCTCTGCT